TTTCCAACGATATATTATAAGCCCAAATCTGAGTTATAACGAATAAGTTATGGACAAAATGTTAAATTGAGCCCAAACCGAACCTAAGCCCACCTTACCTACGACCCAATGATCATGTAGAGGGTCCAAATTATTTAATCCAATTTCTAAACCAATTAGGATTAATTAGAAGCTTCTAGAAGTTTCTAAAAGATCTTAATTATCCTTTTTGAAAAGGTATGATTACAGGTTTTGAAATTGAATAAAACTTTTCTTTTTGAAAATCCTATTTCTATTCGAATTGAAAGACATTCAAAGATAGTCAGATATGATTTTCGTGCCTCATAGTTTTTATCCAAATTTTATATGGTTGGATAGCCCTTGAAGTTATCTTTCTAATGATATGTTATAATATCAATTCCAAGCTATAACGGAAAAGATATGAATAAAATGTCAAATTCTATCACAAACTGACACCGTCTGACTATTTCGGCCATATCTTTTATTCTATAAAATATTTTAATCTGATTCTAATTGGGTTAAAAAGTAGACTTCAAGAGATTTCCAACGATTCTTATTCATCTTATTCCGATTTCTGGATCAAAAGATATGATAAAAACAAAAACCGCAAAAACTACTGTCTATCGCAAGAGTTTTATCCGATTCGAATTCTTATCTTGTTTTTTCGACCCTTCTTTTTTCTCTATAAATAGAGGTCATATCTCCCCTTTTTCAAAGAATCAACAAGTTTGATCATCAAATAATTCTCTCTTCCTCTCTTTTACATCAAAAATCATTCTATTCTCTCTCTCACATATTTTAAGCCTTAAACCTATATTCCTAATTATGTCATTCTTCCTTAAGCACTCCAAGGAGTCTGTACAATACCTAAATTAGTTCTATACTTAAATCAAGGCGTGAAAGGTATAATTGACTGAGGGTTTGGACCAAATCAAATCTACTTTTTATTTAATTTAATTTAATTTGATTTATATTTTTATTGAAGTTACTAATAATTTATTCATGATGTAGCAATTTAAAGGAACGCGCGAAATGTGAGTAATTAATTAATTTAATTACTCCTATTTTATTTTCTTATTGCTAGTATCATGATTAGGGTTATTATTATTATTTGATTTGACTAACGTTATTATTGTTAAATTTCTTCCAATATTAATGTTTATTCTATTATTATTTATTGATCACTATATTGCATGTTTAAAGGGAATATATAATTGAAAATCACGCCTAATAAGATAATTTGGACAACTGGTTTATGTTCCTTTTTAATCTTGTTATTAATTCAAGTGATCACAAATATTTTAGAATTATGTATTGCATTAATATTCAACCAATTTAGCCTAATAATAGTTTGGAGCAAATTGAATATTTTGTTTGCATGCCTTTGAAATCGCAAGAATCACTTTTCACTATAAGAATCGAGTAGAGGCCAATACGGGTGAATGTGACTCCATGACTCACTTTGTACCATCATCCCCGATCCTCCTTTCGTGGTTCCGAACCCTATGGAGTTAGTAATCTCATGGATTATGAATGGGGTGTAACCTTCACGGGCCAATTGTTGTTTCCTTCGTTGTCCCTTATTCGTGGTTGCCTTTTATGATCCGTGCACGGTTTACAAGTTCCTTAAAAACTTGTTGGCGGCTCCCTACTTTCCTTGTCCCTAATCGTAATGTCAAATCCCACTTCCTATGAGTGCCAAGCATATTCACCACATGCTTTAACTTAGGCGCACTTCGAGCGACGCCTACAGTAACTATGTAAATAGGTGTTTGCATATGTTAGCTTCATGAGGTAAGTACACTATGCATACATGAGTTGTATATGTGTAGGAGTATTTACATAAGCTTTAAGTTTAATTAGTTCTCTCACTTGAAGTTTTTTTATGACAAACAAACTTCAATCTAGTGTTGGAAAATAGAAGATTTCAAGAGAAACAAGAGAGAATGAATGAAACTAAAGAAGGTTCTCCCATGAGAACTAAACCACGAAGGAGCCTGAAGGTATTCTCTAACAAGATACAAAAGGAACTTTTGGCAGGCTTTCCCACGAAAGCCGGAGCATGTTCCCTAACAGGTACACGAAGAGTTCCATGTTCCCTAACAGGAACTTGAAGAAAATAAGTTAAGGACTTGACTTGGTCTGCGTTGAAGACAACAAGTTCCAGTTAGGAACTTGGCCTGCGGTTCCAGAAGTGGAACGTTGCCCCGAGATCTAAAATACATCAATACTACAAGATTCCAGAACAAGAGTTTCAAAGAAACAACATGAAGACGGAGAAATCAAAGTATGTCTCTCTAGGATTCATGTAAGTATGTTGGACATAAAAGTTAGTCTGGAAAAAGTCTAAAGAACCAAGGTGACTCATGATAGTCAATGAAATTAGAGTTACTGACTTGTCAGGAACTCAGAGACTGTCAGAGTTTCAGAACCTAATCGGAACTTAAGTCTGCACGTCGTTAAAGGTCGGTTTAATGATATAAATATTTACCTAATATGTGCATATCTTTTAGGTATTTGGTTTTACAAAATAAAGATATTTATTTTCTAAGGAAAGTATTTTAAGCAAAAATAAGTTTAGAATAAAATATGATTTTATTAAAAGTATATCTTTGAAAAAAGATACACTAGTATATTTGGAAAATATAAGTTTGGAATAAAATATGATTTTATGATAAATATATCTTTTAAAAAAAGATAAGCTAGTATATTTGGAAAATATAAGTTTGGAATAAAATCTGATTTTATGATAAGTATATCTTTTGAAAAAGATAAGTTAACATATTTGGAAAGTATATGTTTTAAATAAAATATGATTTTATAGCAAATATATCTTATTATTATTGACATAATATATTCTTAATAAAAAGATAAATTTTTGGAAAACTAATTTTTAGTAGATATATTTTAAAACATATCTTTTGAGAAAACTTATCTTTTACGAAAAGAATGATTTGGATGTACTATAAATCTTCTCGTATGTATTCATTCAAAGTCGAGGTTGACGAAGCTTAGTGGTCGTGCTTAATGGTTTCATCCTTCACCATGAAGCTAAGTCAAACCTCGAGGTCAAAGTTCCAGTCAGGTTTAGTTTCAGTTCGTCAATAAGTTGCAGACAAATCTTAAGTGTCCAACATATTAGTTTTATCTCTTTATTCTTTGATATGTATTTAGAGTTATTATTTGAGATCTTGTAATTGGAAAAAAGGGTTTTGAGTATTTTATGTATTGGGGTATGTGGAGTTTGAAAGTCTCTAAAATTTGAGTTGTAGTTGTGAGTAGTACTTTGAAAGTACGAGTGAATCTAAGTGTGGGACTTAGGTTGGGTAGGATAAGGTCCTATCAAATAGCAAGTGTCCTTGGTGGAACTTGTGACAAAGGTCTGTGTATAATAGGTTGTAATTTGGTATTGCCCTATTATAGTGAAATGTTTGTGTTGAAAATCCCTTGGTGGGTCGAGGTTTTACTTCTAGTTGGGCCCTGGATGGTTTTCTCGTAAAATCCACTTTGCGTTGTCTAAGTTCCTAACAACAATCAGTTTTATATTCCGCAAAAGTAGGCACTGGGAACATACTACAATTCACCCCCCCTCTTGTAGTATATCATCCGAAATAACAATAATCATTTGAATCAACTTGAATTTTGCTGCCAAAAGAAGAATATCCTGGAGGCAGTGACATGTAATCATCTTTTAGTAAATAATCATGTAGAAAAACACTGGTCACATCCATTTCTGTGGTGTGCCAAATATACACAGCAACCATAGCAACAATGGCGGAGCCAACGTTTCTAAGTGAGGGGGCCAAGATTATACCTACGTATATATAATTTGCCAACTATTGAATTGATTACATTTACTTTAAAAAAAAAAAACAAACTTTGTTAGCTAAAAGCTTTGATCCCTTGACATCTTGCATACTATCGCATGGAAAAACCAACTCCTCTACACCAAAATCTATGACAATTAAGAGCAAATTTAATACTTCCTCCGTTCTTTTATTATTGCACCACTTGCCTTTTTAGAAAGTTTCACAAATATTGCACCATTTCCTCTTTAGGAAAAAAATTATTTGTGTTCATACTACAAATACCCAACATACCCTTGCTTTTTCACACTTACTTTTTAGTTTATCAATATATCACATGGGCAATTTTGTATTTTTACCTTTTTCTCTCTTACTTTTTTCTACTACCAAAATATTTGTACCCAACCCATATGGTGCAATAATAAAAAAAACGGAGGAAGTATTAAATTTGCTCCCCCCTGCATAGCTAAGATTGCCCTTAAAGTTGTCATATTTGCAACCAAGTGCAAAGGTTTCTTTGTAATCTATGTCAAACTGCTGTCTGCAACCCAACACCACAATCCTTGCTTTGTGTCTTTCAATGTTGCCATCAAATCTAAATTTGGTTTTATATACCCACTTGCTGCCTATAACCTTTTTTTTCAGGGGCAGAGTAGTGCCAAAAAAAAGGAAGTATAACACTTATTAAAACACGATCAAATTGAGTAAGTCTAACACTTATTGAAACATGGAGGGAGTATGAGATATGAATAGTTAGTTATTGCTATTTAAAAAAAAAAAAAAAAAAGAGAGTTTAGTATTGGGGTTATGGAGACTTCTCATTAAAACGACTCTTAAATTATATATAAAATATATTTGCTAATGTCATTAAGAAAATATGAGGTCTCATATTTGTATTAAGCTGCTAGCTTCCTTTTCCACGCTTCTCTTTGAATATTATACAATTGTAAATTTCAAAATTTGTAATTGTCAAGTAATAAGCGCAAATACAAGACTAATTGGAGTAAATATTTGAAATTTAAAACTTCTCATGCTAGCTTATTATATTTTTCCATATGATATACTTATCCTATGTCTTACTAATATTGAGATTTACTTGTATGATACTATTTTCAAGCAACTTGGTGATGTACACAATTTTTGTACGTCGAGTCACATAGTGCTCCACGCCTCCACGAATCAACGTTACATGTACTAAGATCATGAGCTTATGCCTCATATATAGAGATTATCTTATTATATGTCCAAAATTCGTATACAAATGAAACAATAAATTTAAAACCAATAATACAAGTACTAGTGTCCATTATATTAGGACTGAATTGTACAAAGAATGAGAAGACATACTACTCTACAGATATTAGTAATACTACTAAGTTAGTTAATTAGCTTGGTTTGTAGTATGGATAAACAGTATACAGGGTTTGTAAAATGGTCAAAACTAATAAAACAAAGGCAGCAACCATGGATATGAAGGACCAAGGTGTGTTGAAATACGTATACTTCAATGTAGCCCAATAAACATGCCAATCATTTTGATGATACATGTTAACATCATCAAACAACTTGGCTAAATAACATTGGTCGATATCGAATGCTACTTCCTTGCCCAAATTGTTGATAAATGTAGCAATTTCAGCCTCAGTTCCAAAATAATTCTCTAGAATGTTCTTGTCACAAAGGTACTCCACGTCCTTAGCCGAGTTAACAAGGCAATCTACAAACGTTGCGTATGTAGTGAAGTACGTGGAGTGACCATTGTGACATTGCTCGTATGATACGCAATTTGCTAACAAAGAGCTAAGGAAGTCGTCGAAGGTCACCCTTGGCATTTCGATCACACCTCGTTTAAACTTGACTGCTAGGAAGGTCTCGGATTTTCCGGGCCTAAGATGGATCCCGGCTTGTCGGAGCTTTGAAACTGAATGAATTACATGTGAAGGAGCTGTGTTTTCTTTTGAAGGATCTTCTGGGTCTAATTCTGGGGTGATGAAGCTAGAGCGCAAGAGATCTAACAAATGCTTGGGTTTTAGATCCTAGCATTACACAAAATATGTAATCCATTAATTATTTTTTATTCAAAAATCACAATAACTAATCATTCACAAATCCATGATTACTAAAATTTAATTACGAATGTAAAATGAATGATTAATTGATAATGGTTTAGTAAGCAAGATTCTATGAAAATGACAGGAAACCAAATTATTCATCATCAAAGGGCCATTGGTGAATTTAAACCCCTAAATAAATGATATTTCTTTATATTATTAATAAATACACACTTTGTATTTCCTTTTTATGACGTCGTACCATATAAACCATACAATTCCCTCAAAAAAAAAAAAAAAAAGTATTTCTTTATATCATCCCTTGACCAGTTGACCGTTGTGAACAATGAAAATATCACAGCCTCATAGTATTTGAGAGTGAGGAGTAGCTCAAGTGGTTAGAGCTCCCCTCCTAATTCTAGATATTAAGATCAATTCTCATCACCTGTTCTTACGGCTCTCTTAACTCAAAAAAATCAAAAACAGCCTCACAATATTTCATTGTACATATAAACTCCCTATGCCTTTTAAGCCCTTAACCAAATTATTATTTTGAATTTGTACTATAACCAAGTAATAAAAAAACCTCTCTATTTACTTGTTACCTTGTTAGTGGATATATGTATTCGTGTTTGTTAATTTTCGTTAATATTTCTCGCATTTGTCTTAATAAAAGAAGATATATGTGACGCCAAAAGCCCGCTTAAGTGTCCAACAAACTCTCCCGACTTAAGGATATTTTAAATTTCTATCTTGGCCCGGCGGCTTCTTGCATTTTTCAAGTCATATTATTGACATTTACTTTTTAAGCTGGAATTGAATACTCGTACCATAGTACATTATAGACTTATACGGTTATACCTTATACCCCCCTCTCCCATTAAAAACTAAGGTTTGGAACAAGAGTAATATCAATGAAAGTAATTTCATTACTTTTACAGTAATAATTCATCTTATACAGAGAGTGAGGAATAACTCAAGTGGTTAAGAGTTTTCCTCCCGATTTTAGGAGTTTTTGGGATCGATTCTCACCCCTACCCTTGTGGCTCTCTAAATACAATAATTTATCTTATATAAGTATGCAGGAGTAATTTCATTGTTTACTCTACTTATTGTTCTAATTTTTAAAAGTTAGATGTTTAAAATACAATTAATTTGATTTTCACATGTGGTCTCAAAATCACTACTTGTAATTAGGGGTTTAAAATTAGATTAAAACTTGATTTGCGTTTTTATATATTTAATTTATTCCATTTGGTAGATAAGATGTAACATGCTTACAAGCTGTGCATGCCTCAATAATTTCTTCTTTTCATTGGGCTTTTTTTTTTGTTTTTTTTAAATAAAGGTTACTCTCAATTTTCTATGTATATGGACCCATAATCAAAGCACTATCACTTTTGTTTATTAATTATGATTAGTACGTACCACAAAGTTTATCTTACTGGCATAAATTAATTAGCTAAAAATACTGTTTTTATGTCACACTTGGATTCTAGAAATCATTAGAAACCATTTATTTCTCTAAAATTCATTAATTCATTAAAAAAAGATTCATTAATTTATTTTTGGTCTCTCCTACACCCCTTTTAATTAAAAGGATCTTGCTAATGAGCGTCCCGGGGCGTTAGATAAGGATAAATTATATTGGTTGAAATGGTATTATGTTAGGGATTCATGACAAAATCACGCGTCGTTCGGTGGTGTAATTAATGTTAATTTTACTCTAATATTTGCACTTTAATTCTCTTATCTAACGCCCCGGGGGCGCTTATTAGCTTTGCCTAATTAAAATTAGGAGTTTGATATATACAAGTATACAACCACAAGAGCTAAGTTCTAACTATTACATGACGATCAATATATTCCAATACAACACGAAACCACTCGATCATTATTTGTTGATTTTATGATTTTAACTTTTGAAATCTTACTTTTTTTTTTTTTTTTTTTTTTTTTTTTTTTTTTTTGTTAACATTTATATTTTACTTTTAGAATCTTTGAACTAAGAGTGACATTAGTCTGTGTGTTATTTTACATCAAACTTAGAATGTACTAATGCTAAATGAACAAGATAAATCTATACGAGTATGCGTTATTTTAACATAAACTAGAATGTACTTATACTAAATACATGACATTAGTCTGTGCGTTATTTTACCTCGAACTTAGAATGTACATATGCTAAATGCACGAATTATATTAACAATATCTAGAAAATTAACAAGAAAAACTAACCTTGTACTTCCAAATAATTTCGTCCGGCCGTTGAATAGTAAAATTGAAGAAGCTCAAAGAAAGCATAGCAAGAGTAAATTCACCACAACTCTCTTTATCACCACTAGTTAAATCATACAAACATTGCAAAACAAAGAATGGAATTTGATTTTCCAACCTATGTAAATCCCTCAAAAGTGCCGGAAATATCCAAGACATAGAAGCAATAGGATCATCATCTTCAAACAACACCAATTTTGCAACCTTCCTAAACAACTCAATAATAAAACAACCATCAACAACTAACATCTCAAGGAAGTGTTGTTCCTCTAATGGTATATCTTCCGAGTAACATTCGCGTGCGGACGCCCCGAGTGGGGCGACCGCATTGAAGAGGTCCGGGAGGGTGAGGTGGGTGACTCGACCGAGGAGTTGACCGAGGTAATGGTACTTGTGTTCTTCCATCATTTGTAAATGAGGTTGGTTATGATGGAATGGACCTATTGAGATGATTTGTGGTTGGTAGAGCTTTCCATTTACGTCGTTGAAGCTCTTAGGGACTTTGAAGATTGAACACGTGGCTCGACCGGCTGCCTTGCTTAGGATTTTTGGTGGAGTGTTGATTTTTTGATTGATCAAGGCTAAGCGGAAGTTGTCGATTGTGACCATGTTGATGGCATGGTGGTCTTGGCCGTCGTCGCGGTGGCGGGTTTGAGTTTGGTTTGGGGATGGTGAGCTGCTTGCCATGGAGTATTATTGTGAAGTAAGGTTCTCGGAAGATACTTAAATTGGTGGCTTGGCTTAAGAAGATGAAGAGGGTGCTCTGTTTTGGTTATCTATACTTAGGAATAATCTGTTTTTTTTTTTTTGTACAATTATTGAATACCAGCTCATTTTCTTTCCAATTATGTCAATTTTGTAATTATTTGATGATTGTTCTGTTTTTAAGTCCAACTACGACTTTCTTTTCTTTTTACATTTGGAGAAGGAAAAATATGAAAGTTTAAGAAGCGTTTTTCAATATAAAACTTTTTTTATCTAAAGAAATTTTTTTTAGATAAATTACTATCTAAAAATGGATCAATCTTGAAATGTCATAATGCGGTAATTGTCTAAAAATGCAACATAGTTAGATGCCTAGTTTTCTTTTCGATAAAAATGTACTACCGTCTACTGACAATTGATTTTGGTAAATTAGATAGGAGTAATGAGTCTAAACCTATAAAAATACTAAAGGTTTAACATCTACTTTTTATTTTAAAAAAAATAATAATAATAAATAAATAAAAAAAAAAAAAATAAAAAAAAAAAAAACCTACCTCAGCTAAGTGTTGTAATTTTGAAATATTTTATATCTCACAAATATATATATATATATATATATATATATATATATATATATATATATATATATATAAGAAGTTAATTTAATTTGGAAAAACAATAATATTTATTATAATAATGTATGATAGAATCGATTGATGATGTTATTTTGTTTTTCTTTTTTCTTTTTATTTTTTGACAACACCTAAATAAATTTATGTAATTAAAACAAGAACTAAGACTTACCACTACCAACTTTGAAATTAAAACAATTTGAACATTGAAAATCTGACTTTTAACACTTATTTAAGCCTTTAAAACTTTTGATATTGAAAATAACATTAAACTTAAAATGGCCGGACATGTTGAATATTAGGACCTTCTTACCATACAAAGAGTAGAAGCATAATACACACCATAAAGTTGTTTATCATCAATGTACTTATTAAAACTTTAATTTAATAGCACTCATACACTTGATTCCATAATCTATACATATATTAAAAGACGTTCCTAATAAGTATGTATACATGCCACGTGAAATTGATCGAATAAGAACTTGTTATCATCTATCTAAGCTACTCCCTCCGTTTTAAAATAGCTGCTCCTTTTCTCCATGCATGGTGTTTTAGGAGAAAATAATAAAATAAGGAGGTAGTAGGGTAGGGTGAAAATAAAAAATTGTGAAAAACAAAATGTCGGTGGGTACTCACATAATCATCAACTTCTCTCCCTTTTTGCTAAACCTAAAAACATGATGAATGAAGTTGTAAATATCCTTCACATGTGTTAATATTCAAATTCATGACACAAATATTTTTATACATGACACTAATATTTTAATATCAGACAATAATATTCTAATACATGACACTAATATTCTTATATCTGACAATAATATTCATATACATGACACTAATATTTTAATATATGACAATAATATTCTAATACATGACACTAATATTCTTATACCTGACAATAATATTCTTATACATGACACTAATATTCTTATACCTGACAATAATATTTTAATATCTGACAATAATATTCTAATACATGACAATAATATTCTTAAACATGCCACTAATATTTTAATATCTGACAATAATATTCTAATACATGACACTAATATACTTATACCTGACAATAATATTCGTATACATGACACTAATATTTTAGTATCTGACAATAATATTCTAATACATGACACTAATATACTTATACATGATAATAATATTCTTATACATGACACTAATATTTTAATATCTGACAATAATATTCTAATACATGACACTAATATTCCTAACACCTAACCATACTAATCTATTACCAAACAAAAGATTCCTAACACCTGACCATACTAATTTTTTACCAAACAAAATAAACCTAATACCTAACTAAAATAACCAAATATCTTACATTAATTACTTAATATCTGACATTTAAAATATGTCTAACAATAATATTCTAATATCTGACAATAATATTGTAATATATGACAATAATATTCTAATATCAAACCTTACAAGTTTACTATCATGAAAACATTAAAAGTTTAAAGTCTGACATCAAAAGTTTTATACTACGTATTTGACATTATAAGTTTTATATCAAACATTAAAAGGTTAATATTTTACATTAAAAACTTAATATCTGACATTTAAATTTTAATATTAATAGCTTTAAGAAGAGAATTCTCCTTTTTATTACTGTAGCAAACAAGAAATTCATAACAATAAGAACAAGCAATGATCTCAGATCATCAGCAATAGGAACACGGCGGCTCGACATGTCGAGCAGGATTATATAATCTTCCCCAAATTAAATACATAACTTTGGCCATCGGATTATCCTGACAAGGAAAAACCGACCTCCCATGAATCGCCTGACCTCGAGAATAAACATAAAGCAACAATTTCTTAAACGTCTGAGGAGGAGTCAGCCATTGAAGAGCCGAAGAGTTAGGCAAAGTTTGAAAAAGAACCAGAAACTTCGATTGATCAAAGAGAGTAACAATGAGAAGAGCACCTTTTATGGAGTCAATTTCGGAAATTTTGGGGCTTTCGTACTAGGGTTGATGATGGAGGTGATGGGAAGAATGTGAATATCGAGGGAGAGGTTGCCAGAGAAAGGGGGAGAGAGAGAGGAGAGCAGAGGAGTGGATAACTGAGGAGAGAGAAAGGGAAAGAAGGAGTACTAGAGAATGAAGATGGTGGACTCACCGTGACTCCGTTCTACCTAAAAGTTCACTATCCCCTTGATATATAAACACCTTGATTTGAATGAGTGTTAATCTATACAGATATGCTTTGATATGATTTTATAATGATTGATATATATTTCCACCATAGGTAGCAATTGGTTGTTTGCAAGAAAATGTTAACTTTTGATTAATTCAACAAATTATGCCTATTTTATTTCATATTTCATAAAGTATCATGTTTTATGATCAATAGCCAATAATTACTAAACAACTAATAATTGTAACTAAAAATGATATAAAGTAAAAGAATTTAAGAGAAATGTCTAGTTGATGTAATATTTGTTACATTTTTGTTTTTTTTTTTTCAAAATCATTTTGGTGTTTAGAAATTTGATCATTTTTTACAAGTGTGTTATTAAAGTTGCTTTTTAGCTAACACAGTACATTGATATTCTTTTTATTCCTATATTTAAAAGAAAAGATTTTTTTAACTTTTTTATTATATTTTTTTTAATATTTGAGATGTGGAATTACATTATGAAATTTAAAGATTTCAAAGCAATAAATTATTGTCTAATAAATTTAAAGATTTCAAGCCAAGAAATTATTGTCTAATTAACATGCTTTCGTTCTTTTACAAAGAATCTTGTATTTTTGTATTTGAGCATTAATTTACGCCTCAATATAGTAAATTTTTATAATAAGATATTTTAGTAAAATTTCTTGATTTATTAGTTTATAAATCCTTATATTTTAGGTTGTGTGAAAGGATTTACTGTATTGTGCAGTTACTTTTTATTTTTATTTTTTATTTTTATTGATAGTTTGGAACTTCAATGGTATTTATCTATTGAAAAAGAGTTTGATAATATAAGTAAAAGCAATAAGGAGATATAATATAATATAATATAATATATACTATACATTATTTGAGTTTTTCTTTTTATGATTTTAGATGAATTGGATGAATATGTGAGGAATTAGAAGAAATTAGATGAATATAAGATAAACGTTATTAAATATATAAACCTGCACATGCTACTCGATGTGAACATTTGTATTTTTAAGGAGATTTAGGACATGTGTTCCAATTAACTTTATTTTGATAACATATCTTCTGTTCTAAAATCTTCTACTCACTTTCTGTTTTCATTCGTTTTTCTAAATCTTACTCACTTTTCCTTTAATCCTATTAGACAAACTTTTATTCATTTTTAAAAAAATTATATATACAACTCCACTTTGTGGCCATTGAGGGAATGCAATTATATTTGATAAAACATACTCTCTATCTCTCTCCACTTTATAGCAAAAAATTATTTGCATGTACAATTCCCTTTTCAAATTTTCTTGATTTGTGTATCTAGAGTAAGAGTTAAGAAACCAGAGATACTATATATTTCCTTTGCTCTTTATAATAAGTTAGTTGATGCATTTTGTTGAAGTTATCAATTTAATCAAAACGTTTAAATTAATGGTTGAAGCGCTGGATCGATTTATGTACTCTATCTGACCCCCTCATATGAGAGCATGTTGGGCCTCAAGTGTAGATGCAACATGGGCTTCACCATATAGCATTAATATTCTTCCACTTTGAAAGTAATACACATGAGAATGAGGCATGAATGTGGTTGTCGAGGCACGTTGGCCTCGTAATTTACTACTTAAGTTGCATTGTCCCTTACGTCGAGCTACTATTGTTTATTGTGATAATGTTAGTGCTATTTATCTCACACACAACTCAACTAAACATTAGCGTACTAAACATATGGAGATGATAATTTGATTTTCCAGGGAAAAGTTTGGGTTGGGATAGGTTCGAGTGTTAGATGTTCCTACGTATTCATGTAGACGTCATTTGAAGCGTGCCTACTTAAACACGTCTGAATATGCTAAGAGATCATAAGAAGTTGGATTTAACATTGTAATGAGTAGGGATAAGATAAGGGATAAAGTAAAGAGCCACCAACAAGATTTTAAAGAACTTACTTGTAAACCGTTCATGGATTCTACGAAAGGGACAAAGGTAGCCAAGAATTATAATTCATGACGGTTACATACGCCATTTATAGTCCATGAAATGACTAACTCTAATTGTTTAATAACCACAATTGGAGGAATAGGGATGATTGTATGAAATTCAGCCAGGGAGACAATCTCATATTGGCCTCTACTCTATTTTAATTGTGAAAAGTATTATTTTGCGATTTAAAAGATAAAGAATTATATTCAATTTTCTCCAAACCAAATATTGTGATCACTTTTTAAGTCTACAAGATTAATAGGCCAGTGGGGCGACCACATTGAAGAGGTCGGGGGGGGGGGTGGGGTGGGGAAGGAGGTGGGTGACTTGACCGAGGAGTTAACCGAGGTAATGGTACTTGTGTTTCTCCATCATTTGACATGGATTTGGTTATGATGGAATGGACCTATTGAGATGATTTGTGGTAAGTAGAGCTTGCCATTTACGTCGTTGAAGTTCTTATAAAGGGACTTTGAAGATTAAACATGTGGCTCGACCGACCGCCTTGTTTGGGATTTTTGGTGGAGTGTTGATTTTTTGATTGATCAAGACTAAGCAGAAGTTGTCGATTGTGACCATGTGGATGGCATGGTGGTCTTTGCTGTCATCGCGGTGGGCGGTTTGAGTTTGGTTTTGGGATGGTGAGTTGCTTCCTATGGAGTATTATTGTAAAGTAAGGTTCATGGAAGAAACTTAATTAGGTGGCTTGACTTGCAAAAATGAAGAGGGTGTTTTGGTTATCTATACTTAGAGCATCTTTAACAATGAACAATTAAAATTATTTGTTACTATTTGAATAAAATTATGTTAAAAAATTGAGGAAAAGATGAATAGTTCGATGAACAATTGTGAATGGTTTGGTTTTCTAAACCGTTTGTGAAAATTGTTTGTTTGACAAAATTCACTTTTGCTGATTAATTTATTGTAAATTATGTTTGTATTTAATTTTTAGTTAAGGTGGGGTAGGTGAATATTGACATGAATTTTTTTTTTTTGGTTCATTGTTAAGAGAAGGATGTTAGAAATTATTTGTTTGTTTGATGTATGTGAGAAAGAAAGTATTTTTTATTGTGAATAGTAACATGAATAAAAACTTTTTGTTCATGAATAAGGATGCTCTTAGGAATAATTTTTTATTTTTTTTATTTTTTTTTATTGGTACAATCAATGAACATTAACTTATATAAACCTGGTTCACATTAACTTATTGTTGTCCACTAATATTAAAGATAATATATACGGAGTAGTTGTTTTATTAGTAAAAAAAGATACTATGTTTAAAATAAGGTTATTATGTTAAATTGTGTCGTTATAAAGGTTATAAGAGCTTATTTTTTTTTATATGAATATTTTTTTAGTTGCTATATTAGTTAATATGAATAATAAAGGCCATTAGTTAAAATTAGAATCAATATGTTTAATATAACTTCGTACTTCAATTTCAAAATACAAAAGGTCAACACACATGTTAAAATTAAGGTTACCATGGTAAAATTAAGACAATTTTATAATTATGGTTACTATGATCAAAATACAGTCAGTTGCTCGTTTATTGACCTCAGGCCCATAATAATATTATTGTAAACTAGATCCACACAAGTATTTTTGAGAGAATCTATCAATCTATCTATCTATCTATATACTATACTAAAAGAGAAGCGCCTCAATGTAGGGCTGGCAAACAGGTCGGGTCGGGTCGGGTTCAGGTCGACCTGTTTACATAAACGGGTCAGGACCCCCCAACCTGAACCCGACCTGTTTACTTAAACAGGTCAAAATAACCAACCTGAACCCGACCTGATTATAAACGGGTCGACCTGAACCCGACCCGCCTAAATCTGATTTTTTTTTAATTAAAAAAAAATAAAATAAAAACCTGTAATTTACTAATTTCTTTATACTGTAATTTTTTTAACCTGTAATTTGACTAATTTCTTTAACCTGTAAAATTCAAGTATTCAAGACTTCAAATTCAACACATAATTCAAGCAAACATAACTTAACAACATAATTCAAGAAAATCCTGCTGCATTAGTGCATTGTCCATACTTCATAGTTTCATACACTCACAACAACAACTAAAACTTGAAAAGTAGCTAGCCAACAAGTCCAAAATATTTCCAAGAGTTACATGTACAAAATACTTCCAAGTAGGCAAATAAAAGTTCAACTAGAAAACCAAATACATGTCCAAAATAACAGTAACAGTTTCATCAACTAATTTTAGAAGAAATTAACAACATAATCAGGTTTGACTCTCCATGACAGCAGGACTTTCTGGTGCACTTTGTGGAGGGCTGGGGCTGGGAGTATCCCCCACATCATCGTTGACTTTCATGGCCATGATTTTTCCACATAAATCTTGCAATTGCGGATCCATATTAGCTACAACCAAAAGAATACATACAAAAGTTAATTTCAGCCTTAAGCATAAATAAAATAGTACAAAAAAGAAACAAAAAAATTGTAATTTTAAATACATAAACTATTTTCATACCTTCACCAAAAGTCCAATCTTTGAGGCAAATGATAGCTTCTGCTGTGTTTGGTTTCAAAGAGCTTCTATAGCAATCCAAAACTCGACCACCAGTACTGAAGGCAGATTCTGAAGCTACTGTTGAAATAGGGATTGCAAGGATGTCCCTTGCCATCTTTGAAAGAATTGGATACCTCACAACATTTGTTTTCCAATGATATAGAATATTAATGTTGGTTGCACGAGGAATCAATGGCTCTTCCAAGTAGATTTGCAAGTCAGATTTAGCAGCAACATATGATTTGCTAGAAGAGAAGTTATCAAAGTCCTAAAAGATGTTTAAACAAAAATTACAATAAAGCATACAAAAAACAGAATTTAAAGCTGATTATCAAACAAAAAGCAAGTGTTCACAGTTACCATCATAAAAGAATCAGAAGCAACATCAACTTGCTCTTCATTAGGCTGTCTAGAAGAACGGCACCTTGTTCGTGGTGTTGTTGTGGAAGCCTCAGTCACATAAGCACCATATAAATAATCCAACCTTTCCTTGAACTTCACCAACTCATTAGTACCCTCTATTTCCCCATACACCTTCTTAAAAGCCCACTCCACAAACTCATACTTAAATTGAGGGTCTAAAACAACAGCCACAGCCATGATTATGCTAAAGTTGGTCCAATATTTAGCAAATTTCTCATTCATTCTTGCTGCCATCTTATGCATGAAGTTATCAGAATTTTCAAGCTCCTCTTTCAAGAGTAAACGGATTTTCAACACATTTGGGAAGCATAACCAAATCAAGGAAATTGCATAAACAAATGACTCATGAGCAAACAAACTCATAAAAAATCGAATAATAGGATTATTACCTTCAGAATGTTTGAGATGAAGCTTCAATCTTCAAGGTTCAAGCATTTTTATTTCAATCTTCAAGAGTTAGAGAGAGAAAAGAGAGGAGAGAAGAGAGAGAAACTGAGAAGAGAGAGAGTTTGAGTGAAAGAAAGCGACGAGAGAAAGAAGGAATTAGGGTTAGATAATTTGGGCTTGGCCCATATTTTAAAATTAGGGTTTTAAGTTAAGCGGGTTGGGTTCGGGTTGACCCGACCTGAAACCGACCCAATTAAATAAACGGGTTTATGCGGGTTGGTTTCGGGTTGGGATTTTCAACCTGAACCCGACCCATTTAACTTCAGGTCGGGTTCGGGTTGACCCAATTACATAAACGGGTTGAAAATCTCTATCAAAACCCATTTATTTCGGGTTGGGTTCGGGTCGGGTTGTCGGGTCGGGTCAGCTTTTGCCAGCCCTACCTCAATGTGAGCCTGACAATGTCACTATATGATTCGCTATCTTATATTATATTATTTATTTTTTTAATTTTTTTAACGTTTATGTTTCCATATAAAAACAAGAATATTCTAAGTATGTTATTCTAAATGACTACATAAAATATTATGGAAAAAAAAATGCAATATCACATTTAACTAGTAAAGTCTAACACAGTGCTAATAATGATAAATGGTCATAGCATGATTTTGTTAGTAATATTATGGTAGCATAGCACCCGTGCGGCCGTGCATAAATATACTTCCTTAATTAGTAAACTACTATGTCACTTCTTATAGTTACATATCTCTTAATTATGTTAAAATTTTACATCCTTAATTCTATTATTAATAGGCCAAATTGGCCTCAACACTCTGAACTTTGACTTGGGTGCACTCATCACCCTGAACTAAGAAAAATAGCCAAAACACCCTGAAGTATTAGCATGGGTGCACTTAGCACCATACAAGAAATTTTCCGGCCAAAAGTGGCCGGATTTCGGCGACTTTTTTTTTTAATAAAAAAATGTTTTTTTTATTTTCTTCTTATTATTATTATTAACATTATTATTATTATTATTATTATTATTATTATTATTATTATTATTATTATTATTATTATTATTATTACGAAAATACCTCAGGTAAGGTTTCGGGGGTCATTTTTACCCTTAATGGATCCAAATTTAGCTCAGATTTTGAAAAAAAAATAGAAATATCTCGTTTTGCGTGTCGAGAAATATCTAAGTAGCTAAGACACGCAAATCGAGATATTTCTTGACACGTAAAACGAGGTATTTTTTATTATTTTTTTTGCGAATTCCGAGCTTAATTTGGACCCATTAAGGGTAAAAATGACCCCGAAACCTCACCAAAACAATTTCCGTCACAAGAAATAAAAATACACAAATCGAGATATTCCTCAACACGCACAACGAGGTATTTCCATTACTTTTTTGCAAATTTCGAGCTTAATTTGGGTCCATTAAGGGTAAAAATGACCCCCGAAACCTTACCCGAACAATTTCCGTCACAAAAAATAACAATACGCAAATCAAGATATTCCTCGACACGCAAAATGAGGTATTTTCATTACTTTTTTTGCGAATTCTGAGCTTAATTTAGATCCATTAAGGGTAAAAATGACCCCCGAAACCTTACCCGAATAATTTTCGTAAAAAAATAAATAACAACACGCAAATCGATGTATTTTTGTAATAATACTAATAATAACAATAATAATATTAAATAATAATAATAATAATAAGAAGAAGAAGAAAATAAAAAAAATACATTTTTTATTAAAAAAAAAAAGTCGCTGGAATCCGGCCACTTTTGGCTGGAAATTTTCTTTTATGGTGCTAAGTGAACCCATGCTAATACTTCAGGGTGTTTTGGCATTTTTCTTATTTCGGGGTGCTAAGTGCACCCAAGCCAAAGTTCAGAGTGTTGAGGCCAATTTTTCCTTAGTAATATTATGGTAACATTGTGATATCGTGTATATATATACTTCCTTAATTACCAATACCTTAATTAATGCAATTTCATATCTTATTTGTAAAGTCTACAAATATTATGATAACATGATACAAGTATCTATATAAATAATGATTTACATAAATTAGTCAAAGATAATATAGTCACATATTTCGTATAAAGAAACGGCAAAAAAAAATATAGTTAACATTTAAAATCAAATCATAATATTCAAACATTAAAATAAGATACAACAGTTTTTTGTATTATTATCTATGTAATACGTTAGGTTAATATAAATAATAGTCTTTACTATTTTCATTTTAGGTCATATTATTTAAGCCCCGTTCACTTCACCTTATTTTTGCTGAAGTGAAAGTATTTTTACTGAATATAAATTATTTTTGCTGAACTTAAATTATTTTTACTAAACTGAAATTATTTTTACCGATTTTCATTATATTTCTTCTTTAAGTTTACTGATTTTTACTGAACTGAAATTATTTATAATGAATTGAAATTAATTTTACTAAACTGAAATTAATTTTACTGAACTGAAATTATTTTTATTGGATATTATTTTTTTAAGGTGAAGTGAACAGGGCCTTATACATGTTAATATATTGTTATTAATTATGGCATGCACTATGATATTTGACCTTACCCCTCTTAAAAAAATCATGGATAATAAAAATATGATTTGTGAGGCTATATGGTAACAACCTAAATATTCCAATCCAAATAAATTAGCTCACTTGAGTCAATTCAATTTTAGTTGATGGAAAGGTACACCATAATAGTTTCAAAATAATTTTCATCTTTAAATTTTCATATTTTCTTACTCATGTAATGCTCATATTTAAAATTTAAATATTTTAATATGTAATTTTATGAGTTTTATAACATTCATAGTTACATTATAAGAATACATTTCCGTACAGAAATGCATTACATACATGATTGGTTAGTTGATAAATTATGGGCCTGTTCACATTTTCTGAACTGATGGGAGCTGAACTGAACTAAACTGAACTGAACTGATTGGAGCTGAACTGAAATGAACTGAACTGAAATTAAGCTGAAGTGAACATGCCCTATGCCTTTTATTCTTATAATTTCAATAAATATTTTTTAATCATATAAAGTTTATTAATAACCAAATCTATGCATGTATTTGTGTTGTATATTCAATCATCAGTTGTTGATTAGTTATATGAATATGATGTAATAGTTTTTGACACAATGCTTAGCTTAGATAATTGTAAAATATAGCAGTGAATAAGATATAAGACTATTATTGTAATGTGTTTGTATATTTAGTGAATGCGGCGGGTAAAACAGGTTTTAGAATGTATAGATACTGAACATATGATATGACAAGTAAATTTTAGTATTTCTTCTACTGTTCGTCTATAGTTATGTGCGGATGGTATGACAAGTAACTCGACGTTTTCCTCGACATCTCTTATATAGTTATGTGAGGCAAGATAATTAATTTATTTTTCAATTATAATAAATAACATTATAAAAAATAATAGGGAATAAAAGAAAAGAATTGAAAATGACATAAAATACTATTCAAATCACATCTTCTATAATTTATTTACGTATCGGCAATTATTGCAACTGAACAAAATTTTAATAATTAATTGTTAGAGAAAATAAGCCCTTTATTACTAATTGATTAGTCTTAGGATTTTTTTCCTACAGGATCAATCATGCTTTTGTAAAATAAAATAATAATGATTTGATTTATTATAAATCGTGCAATGCACGAGCACTATACTAGTTTATTGTCTAAAAATGGATCAATCTTGAAATGTCAGAATGTGATGATTTTGAAATTTACATGCATAATACACTAGGGTGTAGCATCAACCCTCCTTTAAACGTTGGATTTTATATCAAATTAATATTTAATCTGCCAGCTTTACACATTAAAAAAAAAAAAAAAAAAAAAAAAAAAAAAAAAAAACTTCACAATTCATGGGATCAGGCGTGATTATCTCCTTTTAGCCGAACTTTCTAATTTTTATTGCAGCAAATTTTCAATTTTAAATTTAGATAGAGAATTTTACCATATTTACGAAGTAATGGAGTACCTAAATTCTTGTTTAGTTGTTTGCGCTTTTACCCTCTCCAATGGTGAGATTCAAGTGAGTATTTTTAGGAGAGAGAGAGTATTTTTCTCAATGTATACCTGTAGGGAATAATTTCAAGCATCCCCCACTTGAACCCCACTGTAATCATACACTTAAGTATGGTGGTATCCAAAGGGAAGGAAGCTAGA